TACATATATATATACATACATATATATAATATGTATTATATATATATATATATAATTTTGTATTGATGTCAAAAAATAAAAAAGAATTAGGAACACGGAGAATAAAAGAAAGGAAGAGAAAGGGAGAGAAAGAAAATGAAAGGATGCGAGTGATTGCGATTTTGATGAAAAAATAATGAAGAAAATTTGTGTATGCATGATTAAGAATACTTGATATATAATATAAATATAGTAAGAGAGGGAAAAAGAGGGTGGATGTGAATGAAAGAGCAAAAGAAAAATAAAGAAAGAAAGAAAGAAATAGGAACGTATGAGTGAGAAAGATTCTAAATTCAAAGTTAATGAGAATTTACGATGTGATGCTTTATCGATTAAATCGCGGGAAAGTGACCTTTATTCAAATAAAATACACGTGGGGCGTTTCTGGCTACAAAACTGTGTTGTGAGTTTTGAACTTTATGAATAACACTCGCATGTAAGGTTTTTTGCGGGGGCGGTCGTAGCCGAATCGCTGTGTCGGAAGTTTTCGAAATGATGCTTTTCAAATAATAATCGTACCATTTAATAGAGTATAAATGGGACTGTACTTAAAAAATCGTCTTCTTAGAAAATAATAAAAATAAAAAATTTCAATTACGCGAGAAGGCAAAAGACGGAAGAAAAAGATAAAAAACCGATTTAAAACGAAACTTCTTGTGGCGGTAATTAATTACAACGTTTCGTGCTAAGGTAACAAAAATAAGCTATATCTGTGAAAGTTAAATTTAAAAGTAAACGAATAGCCGATCGATTTGTGTCCAATAATTATTAATCAATATTCTCTGTTATACTTTTCTCATTGCGATTTATTTTTTATTCCCAAAATTTTTCTTTCAAATTATTCTTTTCTTTTGTAAAATTTTCATGTGCTTTCGCGATCCTCGGCTTTCCGACATAATCCGTCCCCGAATGATACAAAGCAAAAATAAAGTCTTTAACATTATGTATTACACATAATAAACACACACGAATCTATTATGTTAGACATGCAATCAAGCATAATTGATGAATACACGATTTAGACATATAGAAGAATTTTGTTTCTTTAGGCAGTAGCGAGGAATGTGCATCGACGGTGCGTTTATGGAACCACGAATTTTCTTAACAAAAAATATTTAAAAAGAAAATAAAAGTAATGATAATAATATTATTAATAATATAATAATAATAATAATATTAATAATAATATTAATAATAATATTAATAATAATAATAATAATATTAATAATAAATAATAATACAAATAAAAAGGAAAAAAATCCACCAGAGTGTCAGAGAATCATATAGAAAAATTGAAATAAACAAAGTAAGATGAGTATCTTTGTACAATGTACGATACTACTAACTATAAGTATGATTCTCGATATCTTCATGGTGTACACGCCATAGATAAATATCCATGATTAAACACTTACGTGTAATTTACAGTTTACACAATGCAACAAAAAGGTGAATATTTAGGAATACAATTGCCACAGCGTTTTACGGATCCGAAACGCTGTACTCCGAGAAATGAATATAAATATATTAACTTAAATGGTTTTACGTGTATTAAAACGATTGTAAATATACATATATTAGATACACCTTATAATAAACATAATTTAACATACTTCAATTTTTTTTTTAGTTGTCTCAAATCTCTTTCGAGCCGTTTAACTGCACACGAGGGTGACAAACAGCATATTATTTTCCTTTATTTCTGAATATTTACAAAATATGTAAAGCATACTATGTAGTATTTAAAAATAGTTATTGAATAACGCAATCAATAATTTTTATCAATTACGATAAGTTATTTTTTTTCCATAAGATTTGGTATTGTTGCATTCTAAGCACATATTAAAAATAACGCGTTTTACGCGGTAAATCGGATAACCAATGAAATCGTAGCCGCCATGGTGGTATTATTTGCACGCCATTCAAACAACCATCATGGCTGAATTAGCAGAAAAAGGCTCGCATAATTTCATAATTTTCTATTCGTCCTTGTTACATCTCTCTTTAGAAAGATGAGCATATTATATTTGTTTTCTGTTTCTAATGGTATCAACAATTTTTACGTTTGTCCTAATATTTTTTATTATTTCTTATCATCTTTCAAAGTATGTATTATTTTCTTTTTCTCTCTCTATCTCCCTTTACCTCTCTAACTCTTTCGTAATCGTATAATATTACCATTGAAATACGATAATTCTAATATACATACACGAAGTTGTAAAGCGTCCTTGATAAAATATATTTTAAAACGTAGATAGCTTGCGCGCGCGTTTAAGTGTATGCGTTTCAATTAATATCATATCGAATTTTATTTTTTGTTTGTTTTAATCGTGGCTTCAAGTGGTCGCAAAGAACGTAAACAAAACAAATACGTACGACCTCGAATTGCGTTTCTCGATGCTCATCGATTTTTATCATATCGAGTACAAATTTCTGTTATAAAAACACGCTAATCTTCATTTTTAATTTTTTAATCTTTTTTTTATAATCTATTGTAATTTGTATTTAAAGAAAAATATAATAGGGTTTTCGTGTGCATGTAATGATACCTTGACATCGATATTACTTGCAATGTAATTATGCGTGTATAATATTATTATTGTAAACAATGCAAGTACTGTCGAGCTAATTGATTACATTTATTTTTATTGTCGGATTAAATTGACATTAATAATTTTAAAAGTATATTTCTAATTTAATATTTAATCTCTCTTGACAGTCTCTTTCGTTCGTTCTTCTAATAATAAGAATAATCAAACTGCTATATAATTATTCCTCTTGGTATCGTCGGTAAGGTAGAAAATGACAAATCTGAACTTATTGATGTATCATTTTATTTTGTTATTTAACTAATTAATAGCTCATTATGATTCAATTTTAATGATTGAATTAATGTATTATTTATCAACTAGTTGATTTTTGATCATAATCGTATATCATAATCTTAATATGTCATGATTAATATAATATAAGCTACAGTTGATAAATTGTAAGTGAAATTATTAGCGTTGTTAATCGTTGTTGGTAGAAACGTGTCGCATTGGTAATCTTGATTTGATCACAGAGGAGGACATTAGTTTCTCGTTTGATTTCAGTCAGAGATGGAGTTTATTGTGGGTACTTGTTGTCGCGATATACGCATATCGGGAGTATTAAAAACGTTATAAGAAAACATTTCAACAGTTTAAAGTAACGGGTTTTATGTAAATGTCTCTTTATCGGTTTACAAATTATCACATAGAATCTATCGCACCGAGCTGATGTCTCCACATTATTTTTTTCGAATCACTTTATCGAACATAACCTATGTGCATACTGATCTTTTATTTTTATTACAATTGATTTTTAAAGTGCGAGAAGAAATACGGCAGCATTATGGCAAACACCTTGCACAAGGACGGATACGAGACACGTAGGGAACAAATTTATATTTTTTATCATATTTCTTTTACAACTTTCATTGTTTGAACTTGTATTAGTTTTATTTATTGTTTCTGATAAGAGATAAGGAAGAGAGGGAGAGTACACACTTTTGTTGTTTGTACAGCAGGAGAATCAACTTTTTATTATTTTTTTCTTTTTCATTTTACTTCTTATTTAATATTTTGGACACGCGCACACTATATTAGCTATTTATTTTGATTATCTTGAAGAACTTTGTTGTTCTCACTTAAAGATCTCATTTTATATTTTTTCTTACATGGAAATAGAAAAATTAATTAAGTGTGGAGGCAGCGGTGTTCTTGGACCAAATGCTGATATGAAGTTAGAACCATCTAGTCCTACGGAAAAATATACAGTACAGTATAGTAGTACAGGCTCTGTAAATACTGCATCCTCGTCTGCTCAAAATACAGGTGATTAGATGATAGGCGAATAATATTTTAGGCATTATTATTTAAAAATAATAATTAATAACAATGAATCTGCTTCATTTGATTTCAGAAGACGAAGACAGTGATAATAAAAATTCAACTATAAGTTATAAGGAAAGACGTAGGGAGGCTCATACTCAGGCAGAGCAAAAACGTAGAGATGCCATTAAAAAAGGATACGATTCGCTTCAAAATTTAGTGCCTACTTGTCAACACACTGATTCATCCGGTTACAAACTATCCAAAGCTACCGTTCTTCAAAAATCTATAGATTATATACAGTTCTTGTTGCAGCAGAAAAAGAAGCAAGAAGATGAACGCAATGCATTGAGAAAAGAAGTTGTTGCTCTGCGTATTATGCAAGCTAATTATGAGCAAATTGTTAAAGCGCACCAAACGCAACCCGGTCATGCAGAAATGCGTGTATCGGATGAGGATAAATTCCAAGTGGTAGAGATGAGACATTTCTTCCCTTATTTTTTATCCTTTTGTTACTTTTTATTTTGAGCAATTAGTTTTCTTTAAAATTTTTCATTATTAAATGACATTATTATTTTTCTACTTATTATTTTGTATTTTTAGTTTCAGGCGATAATGGATCGTTTGTTTCAAAGTTTCAACACTATCTCTGTTGCGAATTTTGCGGAATTGTCCGGCTGCGTGTTCAGTTGGTTAGAGGAACATTGTAAGCCTCAGGTGAATCATCCAACTTATTGTTTATCCAGACGCCTTGACAAACAAAAAAAAAACAAGGAAAAAAAAAAGATACAAATAAAACCAATAAAAATGTGTACACGTCACAGACTCGTTCGTATTAACGAGAACAAATTACTTTCAGACTCTTCGCGAGGTAGTAATTTCCGTTTTACAGCAGCTCAACAACCAAATCAGCTAGTCGAATGTATCATCGGAGTTATCTCCATCGCACAATGTCCCTGTTTTATCAACCTGTATATCTTTCAAAGGATACTCAGACCGGTCGTCAATGAAGTTACCAAAGGGGATAAGAGATGAATGTCGTACAAGAATTAATAATAATAATGATAATAATAAAAACAAAAAGGACAAATATTCAAAAGAAAAAAAAAACAAAAGAAGAAAAAAAAAATATATATATAAATGTATATGTATATACAGGTAGCTCATAATGATCGCTAGACGAAAATATGCATAGAGATATATTTTATATACGATGATAAGCATAGAAGAGATTAAGGACTATTTTGTGATTTCTGGTGCAAGAACAGAAAAAAAGAAAAGAAAAATATAAATCCCACGTTGTTATCATCGGTCGCGCGTAAAAGATGACGTATTGAATATTTTTATCAGATTTTTCTATTATTCGATAAACATACTTGCATATATACATATATACATACATTCACACATCATACGTAAATACATACACACATATATATTTACATAATTATTGAAATACATTTATACATACACACAATACAAACACGCGAACGCGTGCGTGTCGTATACATTCTCGTGTATATGTACAATTAGACACGACATATGTATATCGATGTATATCTAAGCATGTACATACATACATAAAAAAAAAAAAAGAAAGATCTATGAGATCGCAGCTTGGAATAAAATTTAATACCTCAGAGACTCTTATAAACACTAAAGTCCACACAGCACAATGTAAAAATTCGTCGTTGTTTTGTTCGATTAATAATTTCGAAGGACGATGTTTTTTTTTTGTTATTTTGTTTATGTTATTTCTTTCGCTTCTTCGAATATTTTATTGTTGTTTTTCTTCTTTATCTCATTTTTCCTTTCTTCCGCTAAAAGCGATACAAAATCAACTTCGTCGATGAACAATAAGTTAACAACGAGAATTGACAATGAGAGAGAACACGTATAAAGTTTAGATCAGTTTTTAAAATTTTTCGGATTCCGTGGGCATGCTGCTATCACCTTGAGTTATTTCGTTCATAGGTATTTCGTCAAATTTTTGCAGATTGTTTTCTTCAGTAACTTGCATAGTATTACGACGAATGGTCCGTCTTCTTTTAGTGCTATCCCCCCCGGCTGGACAACACAAATCTCGAAAGAGACAAATATAGCATGTGAGTAATATCACCATCATCACAGAACCACAGACCATCAAGATAGATGCCCAAAAAATAGATGCCTCGTCGTCCATCATCGTTTTCTTCGAAAATTTTAACAATCCTTTCTCCGGAAAAAGTTTTTTTGAAATTGATTCACTGAAATAGAAATACACATATATATAAATAGATATATATATATATATATGTATATATTTGATGTATATGCAATTGTCGATACAAGAAAAATAGTCTGCATATTGTGTGTTTATGTAAGTTATGAAAGAAGTTTGAATGTCGGTCAACTTGTCAATACAGGATAACTTCAAAAGGTTTTCTTCGAGACGTACAGGCGTCACGTGTAGTATATAATGGAGAAATAATATAAGGAGAAGGGGGACGGGGGGGGGAAGAATGCAGAATAATTTTGATAAATAAGAGCACGCGCATATTTTCCGGTAATCATTTTTTACTTCTTTCTTTACTTACTTTTTTTTTTTCTTTTTACGATCAACGTGTTTTAATTATGCATTCTGGTATAGGACTACGTTTACTTTTAAAAACGAATAGAAAGTATCATGATTTCAGAGAAAAAAATGTTTGTATTTTCTATTTTTTTATCGTACTCGTTAGAATAAACAAGAGGTCCAAGTACTTATGGCAAATTTCCAAGTGAGTGCTAAGATTCATACGTATTGGAACGAAGTTGTTAATTACGTTTTAGTTTTTATTTATTTTTGTTGTTGTTGTTATTGTTATTTTTGTTAACGTGATTGCTTGTATAGAATAAAACTGTTTGTATTCTTTTCAAAAAGAAATGAGAGAATATAGGAATTTTTGAGAAATTTCTACCCCCATTTTGTAGAAAACGGATTTTAAAAAAAAGTACAATTGTATATTCTCATGGACTACTACAAGTGTGCAAAGTTTGAGAAACAAATCTGAGTCTCTTGTAAATGGCCCTACTACCCTTGTTAGCTTTTTTTTGAAATGAAATTTTATTCATATTTCAGGGATATTTTGTTGCAAAAGATAAGTAAGAGAAACGAATCGGATTACAAGATTTTTTTGTTTATATTATTATTATTATTAATTCTATTATTTAATGCAGGACTTTTCAAACTTTTACAAACATTTTCGCACAATTCTGGATACAGACTATATTATTTCTTCTTTCACTGTTATTAAATTCATACAGAAATATGTATTATACGTGTAACGTTGCTAAATTAATTTTAAATTAATTTTTAATTGTTGCACGTCCAACAATTTTGTAATTAAAATTTCTCTACCTCTTATATTAAGTTACGCGACTCCATGTGTGGTCACGATCACCCTCCTCCCTTTGATAAACCCTTATTTAATGTTGCATTAATCGTATGTATGAGTTATTAGCGAAACAAGCAAGTCCTTTGTCTTAACTTTTTAATAATTGTTTCTTTTATATTATTAGTTTATTATTAGATGAATGTTATAACAAACAAATAAAAAAAAAATATATATACATATATATATATATATTTATAATTTGTTGCAATTGTTCGTTATAATAAAATAATGAAACATCTCGTTAATTTAACTTGAAAATTTCTTATTACCTTTCGGATGAAATTACAGCCTTCTGATATCCTTTAAAAATGTTAATTTTATATCTTTCGAATTTAAAACGATAATTATCTCGTCGATCAACGTCGATTTCTCGCGAGGAAATTTGTTTCCTGGAAAATATATATCAAACGATGAAGAATTTCTTAAGAGTTTTCGATATAACCGAGAAGAAAACTATCAACCGAGAAAACTATCAACCGAGAAAACTTCAAAGCATTAACTATAACGATAATAATTTAATTAGAAAATATAATAATGATGATAATAATAATAATAATACTCGAGTGATAATTGTTTATATTTGTGCTCGTCGATTTATTTTATTTTTTCTCTCTTTCTTTCTTTCTATCGAATTTAATAATTCCACGCATAACGTGCGTAATAATTAAAACGTTAAAATTATTACGAAATACTAATTTGTCGTTGCTTCGTTATAAATAAAAATATACCGGAATGATTTAGAATTTTATTTTTTTTTTTGTTATTTCATCAGTACGAATTTTTTTCCAAAGACACAGATATACACGCTTTTTTAATAATTTGTATACAGAAATGTTTTAAAATGTTACGCGAGCATAACTTTAGAAGAGGATTTTTTTTCGTACGAATCATTTTGTTTGTTTTCTTATTTTAGCGTATCTAAATTATTTCTTGTAGTTATTCCGACATATTTGGGCCAACCTTGGTCGTTAATTTATATTTCGAAAGAAAAAATTATTCGCTTTAATTGCAAGTTGAACGATAATAAAACAGATATTGTTGAACAATTCGTAGATCGTTCGTTCTATTGTAGAATTAATTAACTCGATTGGGATAAAAAAAAGAAAAAAGAAAGAAAGAAAGAGATAGAACAATTTGATATAACGAAACAACTCGTTGAACATTTGTTTTTGACAAGCTCAATCAGCTTCTAATTATTTGACGATCGAATTTCATTCGCACGCGTAGTCCGATTGAACTTTCCAAGTGCAAAAACCATTCGGTGAATTAATTCATCCATGAAAATCAATTTTCCAATAAGTTATAGAACTCACATTCAGGGAGTACATATTTATTTTATTAAACAATATAAACGTATACGCGTGTTTCAAAAATATTTTCTTGTTTCGATGATAGGAGAATAATCTTCCCTAAAGGATCAATTTTATATTTTTATTTAATATTTGAATTATTTGTAATATTGTAAATGAAACGTATTTATATTTATATCGATATTAAACGAGTAAAATATAATTTAAATTAAGTTCACAAATGGAACAACGAAGAGATTTTGTTTTCCAAATATATTTCGCGTAAAACATTACGATATAATAAATAATAATAAATATCATTTTATTTCGAGTAAAAATACTGAAATAAAATATATACGAAAATATGTTGGATGATTTAAAAAAGAAGATAATATAATGAAAATCAAATAATATAAATTATCAATTGATATATTTACATTTTTTCGTTAGAACGATTTTCGTTGTTTTTCCAATAGGATTAATATACATTCCAGCACGAGTTTCCCTTGGAAAATGTTCTTCTTGTTCTAAAAACATTTTCGATCCATGTATAACGCGTAATCATTTGAAATTCACATTTAACACCGAATCCTAAAGACGGATGTCATGTCGTCGTGTATTTTGTGTTAAGAACACTGTTTCACTAAAAAAAGAAAAAAAAAAAAAGAAAAAAAAATAGAAAAAGAACAGATTATCTTTTCAAAGTTTCATTATTTTTCTTATCATGAGTATATATAAAGAAAATTTAAATGAAGTCTTCGTTGCGTAAAAAGAACGTACGAAAAAAATAATATTATCATATGTTATAGGTATTTATGATTATATTCTCTTATAATGCAATTTATTTGACAGCTTATCTCTTTCCTTAAGGTATTTTTCTTTTTTTTTTTATTTTTTCTTTCAATATCACGAGGAAGAAACAAACGCGTGGGATTCGGTGGATTTGGAAAATGTTTTACGAGTTTGTTGGGGAAGGAATGAAGGATGAGAAAGGGACGGAGAGGGTGGATGGTGGTTGACGGGGGTTGAAAGAAAGATTTGTCAGCGCAGCACGGTTTAAACGAATAAAAAAAAAACAAAAAAAAAACAAAAGCCCCGCCGATGTGTGATAAAACGTGTCGAAAATTATCGTCGACGAGTTTATGGTGTGCGGTTGATACAAATTTCGGGGGATATTATTTCGCGTTTGTTTTTTTCTTTCTTTTTTATTATTATTTTTTTTTTTGTCGAACACGTACACGAAAATATATTTAACGCACACACATGTTAGAGTTAGGAGATATTTCAGAACGACTTATACAGGACGAAAGCCGTGTGTCGACTGGACGGATCCCGTTTCTCTTCTCGCGAACGCGCATCCTCCTCCTATTTTCTCTCTCTCTCTCTCCTTCTCTTCCCCTCTCACTCTCTCTGTCTTTCTTTCTTATTCTCACATTCGATCTTTCTTTCTTTCTAATTTATCTGTTAACACATTGCGAACGAATCATTTTCTTTTTTCTATAAAACCCGCGTACCCAATACCCACCCCAACCCGGTTTACTTGCCCAACTATTTTTTTTCTCTTTCGATAAATATTTTACGATAATAATTTGTTATTTTATTCATAAATGTGTGTCGCACGGGAAAATAAGTTGGACAGGGTAAGAATTTAGAATGTTATTTAGGATCTTCTTATTGCAATAAGATCGAAACTTGTTCAACTTACCTCCTACCCCCGCCCCACCAATCCCCTGCGACACATTTATTTAATAATTTTATTTTTGGTTATTTATAAATCATTTTCACCCCCTAGAATATATATTATTTTTAAATAACGTTAGTATGACGGTGTGATAATATTGTCTCGTCATCCGTATTCACTTAATATTTTTAAAACACCCACCCACCCTTCGTTTATTATTCTTTTATATTTTATTATAGTATTTTTTTTATATATATGTTATCGGCGATATATTTTCTTTGTTTTTTTTGTTTTTGCATAAAGCAATTGCCCCACGCATTTTTAACATTCCTCGCTAGTTAAATTCCTCGCGTTGATTTTACTCTCACGCATACATTTGATTTTATTAATTCAATAGGGGGTGGGTGAGGAGGGAAAGAGAGAAGGCTGGCATTCGATACCTCCGCATAGACGATTCACGAATTTTTTTTTTATAAAAAACCATCCCTCTTTTTCTCCTTTTTTTTTTTTTATTCGAGATAATTGAACGAAAAATCACGGTGGTAATATAAAAAACGAAAATAATATTTATTTTCTCTTTCTTTCAATTTTCATTTCCGCGATTCGTATGGGAAATTGATCAAAATAATATTCGAAATAAATCGTATCTCTCCCTTTCTATATATATATATTTTGTTTTTTTTTTTATTTCAATACATATATAAAATACTTTCTTTATGTTCTTTCTCTTCGGTGGATTACACTTCATCTTTCCCGTTTGATTTAACACGGTCTTTTTTAGGAGACACACGTACACACACCCACACATATACACACAGGAGTACTTGTGGCAGTAGACAAGTATTATATGGTTCACTATTCTTTCTTCAACGTCGTCGACTATGGGGGAAAGAAAAGAAAAAAAAAAAGAGTATTAGGAAGAATCGAGATTAGGATGTAGGGCACGTCGGATCGATTTAAAGTTACGTGAGGGGGGCAGGAGGGTTGTTGGGGGGAATACGAATCGAACCTTTTCGCGAAACGCATCTAGTAAACCCAGTTATCTTTATTTCGTATACTACTTTCTAACGTGTCACGTGAAAAGAAAAAAAAATATATATATATATATATTATACTTCTCGATCTTTAATTTCGTAAAATATAAATAAAATTATCGCGTATAATAAATTCTTTCTGTTTCATTTTTCTCTTCTTTTTTTATAACATTCTAGATCCGACGATTATGATATTATTATAATAATAACGTGGAAATGATATACTGTAATAATATACTATATATTTACTTCTAGAATATACTGTAGGAATTCACGATAGATAATATCATTGTATCTGAATATCATCAAGGATATCATAAATTCAGTTCGTTCTCGAATATTCGTGGAAATATGACAATGTAATCGGGAAACGAGATACCTAAAACTCATATTTCTCGTTGTTGGATTAACTTAGGGATAAAGAGGGAGTATAAAAATATAACAATATAAAAATACCAATAATAATAATAATAATAATGAAGGATATAGAAAAGTGGATTATATTGATATAAAATAAATCCAGGTGGGCTGAAATATTCTTTTATATTGTTTTATTTATCATTAAATCTTATTATAATCTTTAAATTAAATCTCAAACGTATACAGTTTGAGTATGGTCAGAATTATTGTATTGATTGCTTAACGATTTATAAATAAATAGAAAAGAATAAAAATAGAAAAAGTAATGAAATGAACAAGTCAAATAGTAATCCAATATTTGCACCCCGAGAAGATGTTTTTATTTATATCGAATGATGTCAGGATCGTTCACATAAAAATGGCCACATAGGAAAAGAAGAAGAAGAAGGAAGGAAGGACCTTGGTGCTTGCCCGGAGGATGATGATAAATACGAACGTAAAAGAAATGATGTGCTGGGTTCTGTTGCTTCTTCTGCGATATTATCGTTGCGCTCAGCTCAATCATCCCTCCTATATAACTCTCTCCCCCTTTTTTTTCTTCCCCTTTTCCTTCCTTTTTTTTTTTTTGCTTTCCTCCCTTTAATCTTTCTCTTCTCTTCATATTTTTTTTCTTTTTTTTTTCCCCCCTGCCTATTTATTCCCTTCTCAATTCTTCCGTCTCAAAGGAATAATTCCGTGATATCTCACAATCAGTCAGTCAGTCAGTCAGTCAGATATCGATTATCTGTTTACTACACGAATATGTCGAACAATTTTCTTTTTTAAATGTTGCCACGTGCTACGTGCAATATGAAATATTATTCTGACAAATCGATGATTTATTTCGACGACATTTAATGAGTTCTTTTTATATTTTTTTCCCCTTCAAATTGTGCCAACGCGAAATTTAATCGAATCAAATTGAATGTTTAATATGTGTGCATATGTTATACATATATGTGCCCATAATTATGAAATTGGTCTAAGTCAAAATTCAAAACAAAATAAGTTTATTATTTATATCCAAATTTGTGACCATTTGCTTTTTGTTTTCTTTCTCTCTTTTATTCGTTCTATTTCTTTATCTCTCTTTATCTATCTATCTATCTATATAATATCAATTTTATCTATCGATCTATTATTTTTTATGTTCTTTTTGGATACGACGAAGACAACATAGGTAATATTGATGTGCCATAATAAACACGCACCTATTGGAACGCCCAATTCGGTTTTTATTAATCACTATCGACAAATAACAAGGACTCTGATAAATGAGAAAAACTTAAGCATTCAGCACTTGCTTCGATTAGAAATGTCAACCATTGTAATCTCTTTTTTTTCTTCTTTTTTTTTTGTTTATCGTTCGTGATAAAACGTTCGGACAACAAACGTTGAACAATTGTGTGATTCTTCGAAAAAAGATATTCTTTTTCTTCTTATTCGCGTGTTTTAATGCATATTTATAGATTTTCATTGGATTCAAAGAAAAAATATATAATTGGTATCTTATTAATAATAAAAATCTCGAATGATCGTTATTACGAAAAATTCTTTTTCGATATTGTTTCTTTTTTTTTTTTTTTTTATTTTTTAATATAAATTTCTTATATCGATGTCAATAAACGATCTTACCTTATTTCTTTTCAGTCTACGGTTAAAGATATACAAAATGATAGAATTCAAAGGTACGGAAATAATTTGTATAGAATGTCATTCGTTAATGAAAAATTCTATTTTTAATATTATTTTTCTTCTTCGTATATTACTTATAATCTTTATAGCAGGGGTTCTCAAAGTATTCGCTCGCAAATAAATAAAAATGCACCCACGATGCATGTCGTATCATAATGAATTATCTCTCGAACTAATAAAGATAATTTATATTTTTGTAAAAGAAAAAAAAAAGGAAATATAACACTTATCAAATTATAATTATTAACAAATGTTTTTATCGATTTAATTTTTGAGTAAAACCTTCCTTTTCTTTTTGTTGGCTCATCAAATATTTTGAAATTTACAGTTAAGTCCGCTTAGGCAAAACTTTGGGAACCCCCATAGGTTTCAGAAAGAATCGGAAATGTTTTTCATCGAAGAAATGTTATAATGAACATATTTTTGTATTCAAATATTATTTGCATTCGATATTATTGACTTTCGATGCTAATACAGAGTACTTTTTTTATTCCCATTCTTCTTCTTCTTCTTCCTTCTATTTTTCGTATTAATACTAAATTAACTATGACCGGTTTATAATGGGAAATTTCAACGAGGAATAAAAATTCGGTTAATTTCAATGTTACATTTTTCTTGCCAATGCTTATATTTAATTCTTAACGGTATTGATTTTATTTAATGAATGTTGTTCAAAAAAATAGAATCGTTTACGTAATTCCCACTATTTAAATAATCAGATCGAAATAATATGCAATTTTGTACCGATGACATTTGTATTTATAGCATTTATTAAACGACGAAAAATCTTTCTCGTTATTTCTTTTAAATGATAGAAAATGAATTGAA